CTTACTAGGGTACCTTTCAAGGAAAGTGTCACAGTGTTTAAGCACTGGACTGCTTTCTGGAAAGTAAGTGTTCAAACACACTTGGTGCAAGAAAGATTGACAAACCATTGATTTCCTATGGGGCAGTTCTACTCTGTCTTACGTTTTGTTGTTAGGTGCCACCAAGTCAGTCCCCAATCATAGGAACCCTATGCACAACAGAATGAAACATATACTGATTCTGTGCCAATCTCAGAATCTTGCTATATTTGAAGCCGTTGCTGTTTCCGCAGTGCCAATGCATCTCGTTGGAGGACTTCCTCTTTTTTCCTGACTCCTCACTTTAGATACCTTCTCCAGTGACTGGTCCCTCCTGATAACATGTCCAAAGTATGAGAGATTAATTCAGGCCATCTTGGCTTCCAAAGAATATTCTGACTGTACTTCTTCCAACAAAGATTGCTTTGTTCTTTTGGTAGTCCATGGAACTTTTAATATTCTTTTCCAATGCTATAACTCACTGTATCAATTCTTCTACGGTCTTCGTTTTCACTGTCCAACTTCCGCACTCATATGAGGGTAATGGAAATACTATGACTTGGATCAGGTGCACCTTAGTTCTCAACCTGATATCTTTGCCCTTGAACAATTTAAAGAAATGTTGTGCAACAGATTTTCCTAATGTAATACGTCATTTGATTGCCTGACTGCTGCTTCCATGAGTGTTGGTGGTTGATCCAAGCAAAATGAAGTCTTTGACAACTTCAGTCTTTTCTTCATTTATATGCAAGTTGTTTATTGGTCCAGTGGTGAGATATCTTGTTTTCTTTATATTGAAATGTAACCCATACCAAAGGTTGTGGTCTTTGATCTTCATCAGTAACTATTTTAAGATCCTCTTAACTTTCAGCTACCAAGATAGTATCATCTGTGTATCGCAGGTTGTTAAGAAATCTTCCTCCAACCCTGATGCCACATTTTTCTACATATAATACAACTTTTTGGATCATTTGCTCAGCATATAGACTGAATAAGTATGGTGAAAGAATACAACCTTGGCACTCACCTTTTCTAATATTAAACTATTCAGTTTTCCATTGTTCTACTCGAACAACTGCTTCTTGGTCTATGTACACTTTCTTCATGAGCAAAACTTAGTGTCCCAGAATACTCATTTTTTCAAAATCTTGTCCATAGCTTGTCATGATCCACATAATTAAAAGTGTTTGCATAATCAATAAGGCACAGGTAGATATTTTTCTGGTATTCTCTGCTTTCAGCCAAGATCCTTCTGACACCAGCAATGATATCTGGCTTGAACTTCTGGAAATTCTCTGTCATTGCATGATTGCAGCTATTTTTGGATTATCTTTATTATGTTGTTGTTGTTGAGTGCCGTGGAGTCGGTTCCGACCCATAGCGACCCTGTACAGGGTTTCCGAGGGTGTAAATCCTTAAGGGAGTAGAAAGTCTCATCTTTCTCCCGCGGAGCGGCTGGTAGTTTCGAACCACTGACCTTAAGGTTCGCAGCCCGATTCGTAACCACTACGCTACCAGAGCTCCTTTATTATAATGTTACTCAAATGGGATATCAATGATATTGTCTGATGATTTTTGCTTTCCATTCAGTCACCTCTCTTTGAGCTCAAATAATGGACTTCTTCCAGTCAGTTGGCAAGTATTGTCTTCCAAATTTCTTGGCTCTTGATCATATACTACTTTTTTGATACAGTGGAGAGAAAGTTTCAGTTTCTTCTGACATCCATTTTGGTCTTTTCCTTCTTTCTTTTCTTCTTAATGACTCTTTGCTTTCTTCCTGCATGATGTTTTTGATGTCATCCCCCAACTCTTTTGGTCTTCGGTCTTTAGTGTCTAATGTATCAAATCTGTTTTTAGATGATCTTTAAATTCAGGTGGGATATACTCAAGGTTATATTGTGACTCTCGTGGACTTGTTCTCATTTTTTTCAGCTTAAGCCTGAGTTTGCATATGAACAATTGATGGTCTGATGTTCCATAGTCTGACCCTGGCCTTGTTTTGGCTGATGATATTGAGTGTTTCCATTGTCTTTTCCATAGATGTAGTCAGTTTGATTTCTGTGTATTCCACCCTGTGAAGTTCATGTGTATAGTCTTCTTTTATGTTATTTTAAAAAGGAATTTGAAATAAACAAGTCATTGGTCTTGCAAAATTTTTTCATGCGATCTCTAGTATGAAAATTTTTTCATGCAATCTCTTTCTATCACAAAGGCTTTATTTTCCAACTAGTGATACTTCCCCTTTGTTTCCAATATTCCCATTCCAAAGACTAGTAATTATCAATACATCTTGATTGCATGTATGATCAATTTCAGACTAAAAAATTAGGTAGAATTCTTCCAGTTAATCATCACTGATTTTAGTGGTTAGTGTGTAAATTTGAATAAAAGTAGTATTAGCTGGTTTCCCCTGTAGACGTGTGGTTATTATCCTATCACAGACAGCCTTGTACTTCATGACTGGTCTTGGTATGTTCTTTTTGGTGATGAATGTGAAACTATTCCAGTTCAATTTCATTCTAACCATAGTAAACCATGTGATTGTCAGATTCAAAATGGCCAATACCAGTCAGTCCATTTCAACTCACTAATGCCTAGGATATAGATGTTTATGCATCCATTTTATTTTTGACAATTTCTAATTTTCCTAGATTCATATATCTTACATTTCATGTTCTGATTATTAATGGGTGTTACAGCTGTTTCTCATCCTCCTTTTGGTGCTCTTCATCATGTTTCAGTACTCAATATTCTGGTGATGACAGTGTTCCACTGCTATTCATAAGGTTTTCAGTGACTAAATATTCAGAAGCAGCCAGCCTCTCCTACTTCTAGCGCATCCTCATCTGGGAACTCAGCAGAAACCTGTCCATCATGGGTGACCCTGTTGGTATGTAAATTATCTGTGGCATGGTTTCCAGAATCACAGCAACATACAAGTCACCACAGTACAACAAACTGTTGTTGTTAAGTGCAGTTGAGTCCATTCTGATCCATAGCGATCCTGTATATGGTTTCTGAGGAGAAGCTGGTGAGTTCAAACTGCTGACAATAAGGTTCAAACCAATCTTGCAGTCCAGTTTATTATCCCACAGCACCACACCAGGACTCCAATAGATAAATGATAGATTTGAAATATACATCTACTAATAAAAATGTAAAAAGCAATCTCTTTTTAGTTAAAATCAGTCTTACTTGGCTGAAAGCTTGTTTTGAGTTTTTGGAGTGGAAGTGTCAGAACATTTTGTGTGTGTGTGTGTGTGTGTGTGTGTGTGTGTTTTAAAGAACTAAAAGATTTGAAAGTATATTACTATAATATGTATGGTGCTACTGGATAAGCACTGGACTGCAAGGTCAGTTTGAACCATAAAGTCAGTGGTTCAAACCACCAGTCACTCCTTGAAAACCTTATACAGGGTCAGTATGAGTCAAAACTGACAAGACAGCATTTAACAACACCATATCAATATTCAGATTTTATAGGACTTAAAAAAAATCTTAAAAATACTTAGTTAATAAAAGTTATAGTTCTATATTAAACATTGAATTCTAAAACTAAAACTAAACTTTTATTAATTAACCATATGCTTTAAATCAGGACTTTGAACCAATTCATTTGGTTTAAACCCCTGCTGAGAATTTGCATTTCCACCCAAGATAAAGTGAATCTAAATTTACATTTTACAAGATCCCAAGGTGATTTTTTTTTTAAGCCTTTTTATTGTAAATTGAGTAAAAGTTTACAGAGCAGATCATTAGTTTTCCATTCAACAAGTCATGCACATTGAGTTTCATCTCATGGACTACAATCCCCACAATGTAACATCACTTATCCCACTTCCTTCTGTGTTTCTTGCTTCCATTCCACCTTTATTCCTAACCCTTCTGCATTTTGTTCCTGAGTAATTGCTGCCCTTTTGATCTCAAATGGTCGATTATTCTAAAATGTTGATACCTCTCTAATATTACTGCTTCCCTTATAGGTCCCCAGGTGATTCTTATGTATACATAGGGTCTTGTTAGAATGTAGCTTTGGATTCAGTATATCTGGGGTGTAAATGAAAATCCTCAGCAGGGAGTTGAACCAGAATGAATCAGTTTGAACCCCTGCTCTAACAGGTCTTTGAGCTTTCAAATAACCACCATTCTACTAGTCTTTAAAGTAGACTAGTAGAACATTGATCAGTTTATCTTTGAAATACATTGTAACCTAGTCAGCCTATAGTACGTCAGGGATGTTCCTCCTCAAGTTGTAATTCCTTCATTACTTCCTCAAGATTTTTCTCTATTTTATATTTCTTTCTATATATGGACTCTGTATCACTATGCTTAATTATAGGAATTGCATACTTGTAAGCCTTCCAGTTCTTAAAATGAAATATCTCTTTAGCCTCCTCTAAACCACAATGATTATTTCCCAAGCCTCCCAAAATACATGTCTATGATGGTTTTTTTTGTCACCAAAGAATAAAGTATATGCCCTAAAGTAATCATGATAGCCTATTATAATTTCCATGCTTTGCCTCATTTAAAGTGGAAATGAAGGTGCTAGAACCTACAGTTCATATATGCAGAGGTACCATACACAGAAAAATGAAAATTTTATTGCAAGTAAGGGAATAAGTAACTAAAATTCAATGACTATTTATTGATTAATATCTTTACCCAAATCTTTATAATAATTTTTTTAAAGCTCACTATTTTTGTTGTTAGGTGCCTTTGTGTCAGTTCTGACCCATAGAGACCTTGTATAGGGTTTCCGAGGAACAGCTGGTGAGCTAGTGGTTCAAACCGACTTTGCAGTCCAGCTTAGTAACGTGCAACACCACACCAGGACTCCAATGTTCACTATTACTAAGGGGAACCATGAGGAACTTTGAAACTTGCTTTTTGGTATTACTGAAATGATTATAGTAATAGATGATGCAGAGCAGATATATACAGCTCTCGGAATGTCAATAAATGAAACTTAAAATACATACCATAAAATTCCGCTGGTAATGAATGTTAATATTCTCTTTGTTAAAATCGATCACATAACCATTGAAGGACCAAACAAATGTGAGATCCAGGGTGGGGTCAGCCGCAGCAGCACACTGCATGGTGGCGTTTTCTCCAACAGTGATATCAGCATTAATTGGAGCCAATATAATTCGTGTGGGATCTGTATATTTTTAAATAAAAGAATCAAACACAGTTTAAGAAAATATGAGACTTCTTATTATTTGATACATTTAAATAATAAAATCAGTATATTTTTACTTTTCTGTACCAAAGGAGTTGATATTTTCAACTTAGAATTCCAGGAACAATTTCATCATGCAAGAGACTTGCACAGAAGGTTTAAAAATGGAAACTTAACAATACTTGGACTGTTTAGAGGCTTAAGGCTGATTCATGTGTCTTATTATTGCTATGTTAAGTGTCCCCCCACTGAGTCTGTTCTGACTCATAGTGACCATGTGTAGGTTTTCCTAGGAGCTACTGCCAACCTTGTGGTTAGCTGTACAGTGATTATCCTATAGCGCCACCTAGGTCTCCATAGGTCTTACTGGTAACTGTTGTTGAATCCATTTGGACTCACCATGTCCCTGTACAGAGTTTCCAAGGAGCAGTTGGTGGGTTGGAACTGCTGACCTTGTGGTTCTCAGTCCAGTGCTTATCCTACAGCACCACACCAGGATAAATTAAACACTATCAAATAAAAAAGTACTAATTGAATGGTTTCTTACTTGTGATAACAAGAGTCCCAGTACTATTGGCTTTCCCTCGATTATTTTCTGCAAAGCATGTGTAAATACCTCCATCATTCCTTGTAATGTTATTTATTTCCAGGCTACCATCTTCCCAAATGAGTACTCTATTGAAGGAAAAAAAAAAAAAACAAAACCAAAAATATAATTTACAAAATTAATGTAATGAAATACTTAATTACTGCATGTCATAGGTTACAGTCTATTTTTCAATCATTACATTTTATACAAGTTTATTGACAATAATGTTGTTGCTCTTAAGTGCCATCAAGTTGGTTCTGACTCATAAGGACCCTGTTTAGGGTTTCTGAGGAGCGGTTGGTGAGTTTGAAACACCCACCTTGCAGTTCAAATTGACCTTGTGGTCCACTGTTTATCCTACAGCACTACACCAGGACTCAATCAATAGTAATACCAAGATTTTAAGTGAAACATTCTAGCTTCTTTTTTTTTTTTTTTTTAATAGTCTTTCTTGACATTAACTAGTTGCTTGGTTAACTAGTCAATGAACTCTTGTTATAATTTTCTAACCTGTTTCCCTGCATATAAACACTTGCTCCTCAAGCTCTGGTAGTGTAGTGGTTACGAATCGGACAAGGTCAGCAGTTCGAAACTACCAGCTGTTCCATGGGAGAAAGATGAGGCTTTCTGCTCCCGTAAAAATTTACAGCCTCGGAAACCCTGTACAGGGTCACTATGAGTCGCAACCGACTCCACGGCACATAACAACAAACAACATAATTATCCAATATATGCCATGTATGACAACTGTAAAAATCTACTATTCAACTATTTTGCATAGTAATGATGTGCAATAGGCAGTAACCAAGAATGTCAAGGTCCTTTACAGGATCCATGATCAGTAGACCCTAGGAGCACATGGACAGGAAGTTCTTATTGCATAGTATCTCAACACCCAAGAGGTGAGAGGGACACAGTTGTCCTAAGCCACTGGGGTGTGGTCCGAGTTGAGGTGGTGTTTGAGTGGGGTTGGTGGTGACATAATGCTGCTGAGAGGGTCCTGGGTTCCCCAGGGGGGCTGAGACCAGGGTAATGGCAACCTGTGCTCTAAAGGTGGGCTATCCTAGGGGCCAGGAAGGAAGCAAGATCTTGAAGTTTGGCTCCAGTTCTCAGCAAAAATGGTGGCAGGGACTTGCTAGTCCATGGTCAGAAGGAGTCCTAAACTGGGATCTTCTGGTCCCTAGGTCTTTGGTACTCCACGTCAGCTGAATGGCATTTGTACAGCCCCATCTGCTTCCTCAATACTCCTTCCTGGGAAGGTACAGGTAGGGGAGGGGTAAACTACCTGCACAAAAAATGGGGAGGGCAGGTGAGTGGTCAGTGACATTTGCAGTTTAAGGGCAAGGACAAAGGCCAGGCTGGGTCATCACTGCCATTGATTCTCATAGAGACATGGGAACAGAGGAGGGGTAGCAGGATTGTCCAATGAGAGCTAGAGGATGTTCAGGTGAGGGGCTTGGGGGGAGACCCATTGAGTAGTGTGCACACCCCTCTGCAGGATCCAGGCTCTCTTACGTGAGAAGAAGGAGCCCCGTGCCCCCAACAAAGTCACTGAGGACATTTGGATGTCATTTGGGGGATAAGCTGTAGCCACTGATCTTGAAAATTCAATGAGGATAGGAGAAGGAGGCTCTGATGATGGGGAGGGACAGAAGTTGGGCTACTCTGTTTCTGGAAGATGGGAAAACCTCCCCTGTAGATGGCAGTGGGAGGGCTGAGCTCTTCTGAGGTGATGTGGGGGCAGAGCAGAAATGGGAGGTGGCAGGTGAGTGCAATGGGATGTTCATAGTACAGTTGGGGAGGTGAGGTGATGGGGTCATCCACCATTTTTACATAGCACTGATTTATACATAAAGACCTGGTCTTTGAAACCTAATTATGTTGATAAGTGAGAAGTGGGAATAGTTTTGCTGCTCTATAATCTCTTTCCACATGTAAATCACTGCTAGTCTTTAAATCTAAGTCTGAATATATTACTCTACTGTTCAAAACCTTCCTGTGACTTTCTGTTTCACCTAGAGTAAAAGTCAGTCCTTTCATTGCACTGTGAAGACTTGATCAATCTCACAATGTGTTCCTTGAATCGTTTGGGTTTTGCTCAAATGGGACCTTCTCAGTAAACATTTCCCTGGACATTCTATTTAATATTATCCAAAGGTTCTGCTTTGTTTATTGCTGTATACCCAGCACCTAATGCATACATTAACTTATTTATTTGCTAAACAAATGTTTATTAAACAGCTACTACGTGTTTGAAACTCACTGAGTACTTAAGTAGTAATCACTGAATAGGCAATGGGGAATGCTGTGCTAGACTGAACACCTAAACTGGAGCTGCCCTTTGATCAAGGTCTCTGTATTGCTCATTGTCTGATCATTGATGTTTCAGTAGCAAATTCAACACTGACCAGTCCTTTTACAGTGATTCTTCTAATACCATTTTTGTAAAGTCTTTATATTAATTTAGTAAATCTGAACCTTTTTTAAAAATGACTATAAGGGTCTGGGTAAAGATATTAATCAATTTCGTATGCCAAACATGTGAACCTTAAAATTTAATATATTCATGGAGGCAAATGCTGCCCTGCACACCCCTCCTTCATGCACCATCAAACTTGTGATCCTCTAAGAAGAGAGAAGTATTGAAATGTTCCAGTTCCATGCCAACACGAAACAGACTCAACTTCCAGTTTGAATAGTATCAATATCTTTTCTGGAAGTCACTTTAATTTTCCAGGTTTCATCATACCACAATAATACGCATATTACCTACTTTATTGGATTATTATGAAGAAAATTTAGTTCCTACAATTTCTTTTATATAATACCGCTTAAGAATAAAATTACTTCACTCTGCCCTTATTTATACCTTATTTACACATCTCAGTTGTTCTAAGATGAAGTCTATATCCTTTAGCGTAAAATATTTGGTTATGCTTCATATCTTAAAACTATTAGCCATTTTTTTCCCCTAAAGATCAGTCACACTGGTTAGTTCTTGGAATTCTTTACACATCCCATATCCTTTGCCTTAGGGCCTTGGTATATATTGCTCTCACTGCCTGGAATAACCCTGCCCACTTTTCAAGTCCCATTTATCTGCTTCCCTATTCTGGTTTTGTCTTCTTCATAATTTAGTACTCACTAAACAAATAACTTCATCTTAGAAACTACTCAGTGTACCTCCCCCTGACCCCTGGCCAAAGCCAAGAAAATATGAGTCAATGATCTACTCATTAGGAGTATTAGAATTTTCTGTTAATTTTGTTGTTGTTGTTAAGTGCCATCGAGGCGATTTCGACCCATAATGACTCTATATAGGGTTTCCAAGGAACAGCTGGTGAGCTTGAACCACCGGCCTTGCAGTTCAAATGACTTTGTAGTCTGACACATTATCCCACAGCATTACACCAAGACTCCATTTTAGAAAATAGAAAAAAGATGATTTGCACTTCGAAATCAACTTGTTTGTTTCTGTATTTAAATATTGAATTGGCTAATTGCATCAAATATGAAAAAAATACAGGGCTAATTGTTAGAGGAAAAAAAAAAGTTAAATTGTCTTTTGTTCCCAGGAACCGATACCATTCATTAGCTGAGTGACCTTCAACAATCTGAAAAACAGTCTGAGTTTCAGTATCTAAAATTCCTTAAAAATGACAAAATCTTAAAAATTCTATCTCAATTATAACATCTTAATAGTGAATGGTAACTGTCTCTATTGATGTTAGAATTATATTGTCTTTTTTGCAGAAAAGTTGGAATAAACATTTGCATTTTAATATGAAAATGCAATTTTAAGAAAAAATACATAAAACTTTCTGAAACAGTTATTTAGAATTGGACTTCAAGTTCTTTAAACATACTTGCTACTATTAACAAGCCACTCTGTCCCTTTACTCCATGAAAATTTTGGTTTAGGTGCAGCTTTCGGTTTGCATTCAATTATTACCCTTCCTCCTTTAGCAGCCAATATCTTTTTCTTCATAGGATTCATTTCAAAAGTTGGAGCCAAAGCTAAAAGAAAAAAAATTATTACTTTTCTCTTTTGTTAGGTAGGGAAAAAAAATTACACTTATAATATAGTGTCTATCTTTTATTAACCTTTTAAATCAACAATTAATAGAAAGGAATAATACCATCAAATATTACCAGAATAACATTACATACCTAATACATTTTCATTAATAATTTTAGTGGGTTAAATGTTATATATTATAAAATTCACACATTCAAATAGAAAATTCTTGATAACTTGATTGAATATTATAAACAAGAACCAATATAAAATATTGTATATATGTGCATTTACCATGGAATTTACATCTAATTCAGTTGTTTTGTGTCAATTTCACAAAGGATCTAAATACTCTCAACCACATTTGAATTAAGTGCTACTAACTCCAATTTCCACCATTCATCTGTCAAAAACATCATGAATAGCAATGGTACATTGTCACATATATTGCCAGAAGATGAGTCTCTTAGGTTGGAAGGCATTTAAAACACAATTGAGGAAGAGTTGTCTCCTCAAAGTACAGTTGACCTTAATTACTTGTATAGAGTTAAACTTTAGGGACCTTCTTCATTCCTGATGTGGCACAACTCAAAATGAGAAGAAACAGCTGCAAACATCCATTAATAATCAGAATATGGAATACATGAAGTATGAATCTAGGAAAATTGGAAGTTATCAAAAATGAAATGGAATGCATAAAAACAGATAACTTAGACATTAGTAACTTGAAAAGGTCTGGTATTGGTCATTTCGAATCAGACAATCCAATCATATGATTTACCATACTGGAAATGACAACTTAAAGAGGACAGGCATAGCATTCGTTATCAAAAATAATATTCCAAAATCTATACTGAAGTACAATGCTGCCTGTGATAGGATGATATTGATATGTGTACGAGGAAGTCCAGAGTACTGATGTGTTAGCACTGGACTACTAACCTCAAAAACAGTGTTTCTAGCCCACAAGCTACTGCTTGGAAACCATATGCAGGGTTGTTATGAGTTGAAACCGACTCAATGGCACTTACCAACAACAACAACAGTAAGACCAGTTAATACCACTATTATTCAAATTTATGTATCAACCACTGAAGCCAGAGAAGATGAAGTTTAAGAATCTCTTCAGTATGAAACTGATCAAACATGCAATCAAGGAGTATTGATAAGTACTGGTGATTGGAATGCAAAAAAATAGAAACAAAAAGGAAGAATCAGTATTTGGAAAATGTGGCCTTGTTATTAGAAATGATGCTGAAGAACACATGATAGCATTTTGCAAATACCTTTTTTAAATGACGTAAAAGGCAATTATACACCTAGACCTTAACAGATGAAATACATGGAATCAAATTGACTACATCTGTGGGAAGAGACGATGGCGAAGCTCAATATCATCAGCCAAAACAAAGCCAGAGGCCAACTGTGGAACAGACCATCCATTGCTAACATGCAAGCTGAGGCTCAAGCTAAAGAAAATTATAACAATTCCAAAAGAGCTAAAATATGATCTTGTGTGTATCCAACTTAAATTTAGAGACTATCTTAAGAACAGATTTGGTGCATTAGACACTAGTGACTGAAGACCAGAAGAGTTGTGGGATGACATCAAGAACAGAATACATGAAAAAAGCAAAAGGTTATAAAAAGACAGGAAAAAAAAAATTGGAAAAGATTGAAGCAGTCAAACACTTCATTCTTACTGGATTAACCATCAACACTCATGGAAGCAGCAGTCAATAAATCAAATGACATGTTGCATTAGGCAAATCTGCTGATCTTTTAAAAGTGTTGAAGAGCAAAGTTGTCAGCTTGAGAACTAAGGTGCGCCTGACCCAAGCCATGGTATTTTCAATAACCTCATATGCATGCGAAAGCTGGACAGTAAATAAGGAAAACCGTAGAAGAACTGATGCTATTGAGTTATGGTGTTGAAGGAGAATATTGGAAGTGCCATGGACTGCCAAAACAACAAACAGATCTGTGTTGGAAGAAGTGCAGCCAGAGTGCTCCTTGGAGGTCAGGATGACCAAACTTTGTCTCTAACATATTTTGGACATGTTGTTAGAAGGGACCGGTTGCTGGAGATATCATGTTTGGTAAGGTGGAGGGTCAGAGAAAAGAAGAAGACCCCCAGTGAGATGGATTGGCAAAGTGGCAACATCAATGGGCTCAAGCGTGGCAACAATTGTGAGATTGGGCCAGCACGGGGCAGTGTTTCATTCTGTTGTGCATAGGGTCACTATGAGTCGGTACCAACTCGAGGGCACCTAACAACAACAACAATTTAACATGATCTACACTTGTGTGTGTGTGTGTTGTTTTCTTGTTTAATATCTAACAGAAATTAGAGATGATACTGACCCAAGATCTTTAGTTCAGCATTTGCATAAATGGCTCCATGTGTGTTTTCAGCTATGCACTGGTACATTCCAGCATTTTCAAAAGTCACATCATATAGTCTCAATTCTCCTTTATGATACTAAAAGAAAAGCAAAATAAAACATACTCTTCATAAACTTTAAACAAATGATTTGGGTTTTGTTGTCTTTTAATTTAGATACACTATTTTCATCTGCCCCCACAGTGTCCTACGGCAAGTGGACTGGGATTTTCATAGAATGGGGAAGTAAAACCCACTTACCATACTCACTGGTTCTTGTCTATTCATCTTACAGAGCTGAGAGTTCACACATTTGCCCCCTTGGCCCAGCTAGGAGATTACAGTGGGAAGATAGAGAAGGATCTCCCTGCTGCTACTTGTCCCCAGAGCTAAAGGTTAAGACTTAGCACTGTGATTTTGTCTCTGTTTCTGCAGAGTTAGGGAAACAGTGGCAAGAAAAATAGGACAATATCAGGTAGTAAAAATGGATGAGTAGGAAGAGGGAGAAAAGAGGAACAGAGGAAAAAATCAGGGGGAGAGAGAAGGTAGAGATAAGATTTACAGGAAGTTGCTTAAGTTCAAGGAAGATATTTCATGTTCAATCTTGTTAAGTTAAAAAAAAAATTTTTTTAATGGAACTTTTGTATTTTAGGGCCCAAGTATCCTTAACATAATGACTATTATGCTAAATTTACCCAAGGACATCTCTAAAATGTTAGCAAACATGTCAAGAAGAGCAAGGTATTTGAACACACGTACCGCATATCCATTTTTCAGCCATCTGATTGTAGGGATGGGCTTGCCTGTGGCTATACAAGGCCAGTAGAGATCACTGCCTATATCCACTTCAGTGTCATTGATATGTTCTACCCACTCAGGATATGCTAAAAAGTAAAGAACAGTGTAAATGACAAATGTAAGTCTCAACATTCATCAACATCTTGAGTATTAATATTAAATTTAGCTAACTTTATCTCAGAAACTGAGTAGCTATGAGTTGAATCCGACTCAATAGCACTTAACAGCAACAACAAAAGCAATTCTGAAGAATGATACATTAGATATTATTTGAATTCTATTGCAACAATAGTGAGGTTGGTCCGGGATCAGGCAGTGTTTCGTTCTGCTGTGCATAAGGTTGCTATGAGTTGGTACCGACTTGATGGCACCGGACAACAACAACATGGTTACTGACACCCCAAGTGGCGCTATAGGATCAGCACTGGGCATTGAACCACAAAGTCAGCAGTTCAGACCCACCAGCCACTCCTTGGAAAACCTACATAGGGTTGCTATGAGTTGAAACTGACTTGACGGCATTTAGCAACATGATTATTGATCGTTAGATCTTCAGGTAAATATTAATGAGGCAACTATATATTTCCTCTTTGTGAATCATTTTCTATTAGAAAGCAAATTAATAACAGTAAAATAGTTTTTATTTTTCTTATAAATTTTTCAAAATAACTACTGAGGTTTTAATGTATTTCATTTTAATTGATTATGATAATGTTTATTGAGTATTGTATAAAGACTCAGATTTTGTTCCCATTTTCTCAGGTGCATATTGTCTTCTTTTTTATGGAAATGTGAGCAAGTTGCCAATGTAACATATATTTCTTTAGTTTTTAAGTGTGAACTGAGTGAAACTTGATAGAGCAAATCATCCATTTTACATTAAACAAATCATGTACTTCATTTCATTCCAATAATTGCAATTCTCTCAATGTAACATCCCTTATCCCACTTCTTCCCTGTGCTTCTTGTTTTCATCCCTCCTTTTCCAACCCTTCTGAATTCTGCCCTTGGCTAAATGCTGCCCCTTTGATCTCAAATACTTAACCATTCTACAGTGTGCATACCTCACTAGCACACACATTCATACCAATCTGTTGCCTGGTGTGGTGCTGTGGGCTAATGCGTCAGACTGCAAAGTTGTTTGAACTGCAAGTTCGGTGGTTCAAGCTCACCATCTGTTCCTTGGAAACCCTATACAGGGTCGCTATGGGTTGGAATCGACTAGATGGCACTTAACAACAACAACATTGCTTGAATGAAAATTGATCTACGGGAATGAACTAAGTTCCAGATGTGAAATGATAACCAAGGATCATAGTTTTGAGGTTCTATCAGTCTCTATCTAACTAGTAAGCCTGGTCTTTTTTTTTTTCTGATTTTGAGTTTTGTTCCACATTTTCTTCCTTCCTATCCATGACATTCTAATGTGATTACTTTAAGAGAGATTGGTAGCGTGGACAGCTAACCACAGGTTGGTGATTCAAACCCAGGAGTAGCTTCTCAGAAACCTTATGTAGGGTCACTATGAGTCGGAACTGACTTGACAGCACATAACAACAATAACGTGCAGGACCTTCAATTGTGGTTCCCTTCAGAGCAGTTTGGTATGGCAACTAAATACTAGCTGGTTCTGGTCTCACAGTAAGCCACTGTAACATCTTAACTATAGAAATGGAAACATGATTTGGTCACTTAAATACTCTTACAGTATTATAAGCTACATACTGTTGTTATTGTTAAGTGCCATGGAGTCGGTTCCAACTCATAGAGACCCTGTACAGTGTTTCCAAGCCTGTAAATCTTTATGGGAGCAGAAAGCCTCATATTTCTCCTGTGGAACAGATGGTAGTTTCAAACTGCTGACCTTGAGGTTGGCAGCCTGACTCGTAACCTCTATGCTACCAGAGCTCCTTAACTACCTATCATGTAGTAATTATGATTTGTAAAATACATACATAAGTGGAATTGATCTGAGTCTCACATTATTTTTGTTTATTTATTTTTTTAGCCAGCAAGGAGATTTTGTTTCTAAGTTTAGCAATTTGAAGGTGTTTGGGCAAGGAGAAATGGTGTTGAATTAATCAAAACAAAACAAAATAGAATGTTGTCATCCAGTTAATTTTGACTCACAACTACTAACCTCAAGGTTGGTGGCTGAACCCACCCAATAGTGCTTCAGAAGAAAGACATGATAGTATGCTTCCAAAAGCCCTGCAAACCCTATGGAGGTCCACACTGCAACATAGGTTCTTGTTGTTCCGACTCAGAGCGACCCTGTATAGGGTGTCCAAGGATTGTCAGCCTCACACTCTATCATCTGTTCTACTTGATAACCAAAGGAAAAAAATGCTAACAATTTCCTAAAACTAAAAACAATTAAAAAATAATCCTAGAGTGTGTGCAAGCAAATGATCATTTGATCTTTTTAAGTGTTTAATTTAACGAATTCACATGCTATAGTTGTTAGGTGCCATCAACCTTATGTACAATAGAACAAAAAGCTGCCCACTTTTGCACCATCCTCAAAAAGTTGTTGTTGTTGTTAAATGCCACTCAGTTGGTTCTGACTCATAGCAACTCTGTATAGATTCTCAGGAGCAACTGTAGGCTTGAACCATTGATCTTGTTGTTAGCAGTCCAGTGCTTATCCTACAGTGCCACACCAGGAATCCTTTAATATAAGAAAGATTTAGCAGGGAAAGATGCTGAGTAGAGGATGTTGTTGTTAAGTGCCACCTCCTCATAGTGACTTTAGGTAGGGTTTCAGAGGAGCAGCTGGGGCATTTGAACCACCAAGCTTGCAGTTAGCATTCCAGTGCTTATCCTGCAGTGCAACATCAGGGCTCTGAATAGATGATAGCCTTTCTTCTTCTTTTCTTTGAAAATAAAACATTTTATTATTTTGATTTCATGACAAAAGTAGCATACCTATCATATATTGAATATTTAACATCAAATAAATAAAAAAATAATATAAAACACTTTTAGGATTTCACTAACACCCATCAACATTCTATATATGCATAACTGTATAAATATGGACTCTTGGTACGGCACTGTGGGATCAGCACTGGATTGAGACTCACAAGTCAGACAGTTCAGCCACTCCTCAGAAACCCTATACAGGGTTGTTAAGAGTAGGAACGACTTGATGGCACTTAACTACAATAACGGTGTATAAATGTATACATATTTTTATAGTATATAAATTCTGATTTAGTATTTTTTTTTTACCTATTACATTTTGTTTGCAACAGATGGTGATAATTTTTAAAAACTTAGTATTGGTTAATATGTTAATATTAATTTTTGTTGTTGTTAAGTGCTGTCAAGTTGGTTCTCACTCATAGTGACCCTGTATAGGATTTCCGAGGAGTGGCTGGTGAGCTTGAACCACTGACTTTGCAGTCTGACACATTAGTCCACAGCACCACACTAGCACTCCATGTTAATATTAATTGGTAGTAATTTTATTTGGTATGGCATCTTAGCAATGAATAAATCCAGGGATATTGGCACCTCTCCTGTCTTGGTCTCACATAGGTGACAAAGAGTTGTCACATTACATAATACAGTGAGAAGAGTAAATAACTAAATTATCTGGATACAGTATATAAAATATTTGATTATGTAGCTTTCTGATGGTTTGATTCTAAATTTCTAAATGAAATTTAGAATACTTCATAAGTAAAGGAGAAGTAACAGTCTTTTTGAATGATATCCTATAAGTATTTGCTCTTAAACCCTGGTTTTTCAAAGGAACTAGATATTAAGCAGTTTTTGAAATTCTTCTCTGTGCTGAATACTTAGAGTACAGTTTTTTTTAATGTGTTCAATAAATACAGATGTATAAGCTTTAAAAAACAGGTAAAGGTTGGTAACTTTTATTTTAATATGTAAGGGATTTAACCAGAATATTTTGCCACTCAATCTCTTTAAAGCAGTATAGATAAAGTCAAGATTTTCTATAGGATACAACTTTGCTGGAAGATCTATTAAGATGCTACATGAACAATCCAGGAAACAGATGAGACTGATATGGATAAATAGGAGAGTAGTGTGTCATTTTCCCACACATATTTGAGAATAAGCACTAAGATATTTTGATAAACGAGGTATGGGGCATGAGAAAAATTTAAAAAACAAGGACAAAACCAAAGATTTTATCTGATCAAATAGAAATACAAGTTGTCTTTAACTATTGTGAACAAGTTCATAAAGGATAAAAATAACACATTCATTCCATTTTGTCCTTAAGTTCAAGAAGTGACTGATTTCAAGGCAATTAGATATAGTTATTGAGTTCAAGGGGAAGAGCTGCCTAAATTTTCAGGAGACAAATGGTATTTAATGCCAGGGCATGAATGAGAATGTAATGGAGTGACTGAAAGAGAAGTCAGGCTCAAAGACCCAAACTTGAGCAATCAAGGACTCAGCAAAGTAGAATGAGAGTCGGTACAAGGACATTAATAAAGTATGGCCTTCTAGATATCAAGTAGAGAAAGCAAATCATGATGAAAACAGGGATTAACCATGTCCACTGCTGCTGTTAGATTATGTGAGATCCAACTGATAACTGACCATCAGTTTTAGTAACTTGGCTGTTGTTTGGTAAACTAGAAAAAACAAATGCAGTGGTAAGATGGGAAATAAAAATCAAATTGGAATGCATTTAAGAAAAAATAGAAATGTTTAGACCATATATACAAATGTTTCAGGATTTAAAAAGAATATTATTATTTGGGTGGACAAGAAGAAGAGAAATGGTACTGAGGATGGAGTTGAAAAGAGGGGCTTTGAATAAGGAAGACATAAGAGACACTATTCACTGACAGGATAATTCAGTGAAGAGTAAATACTGCTTCTGCTGGTGCAATATTCTTAAATAAGTAAGAGGGGTGGAGTCTACACAATAGAGGTTCTGGCAGAAAATGACTGAATCTATAGTAATCAGAAACACAAGAGGAGGTGCAGTTAATGAATGGATACACGTGTGGTAGGTACTTGAAGAAGTTCTCATTTGATTACTCTCATTTTCTCTGTGAATAGGAAATACAGTTATCAGCTGAGAGTAAAGCTGATTGTTGTTGTTAAGTGTTGTCGAGTCGATTCTGACCCACGGAGACCCTGTATAGGGCTTCCAAGGAGCAGCTGGTAAGCTTGAACCACTGACCTTGCAGTTCAAAAGACTTTGCAGTCTGACACATGAGCCCACAGTGCCACACCAGGACTCTTCCATAAAGCTGGTAGAGGTGGCATAATGGGTGTGAAGAAAGGAGTGAAGACAGGGAACAATTATCTAAGAGTGGGACATAAATGGAATAATGTCTTATAATTGCCATGCAACATTTGTTGTTGTTAAGTGCCATCATGGCAGTTTTGACTCATAGCGACCCTGCTTAGGGTTTCTGAGGAGTGGATGGTGGATTTGAACTGCTGACCTTGCATTTCAAATCGACATGGCAGTCAAGTGCTTATACTACAGTGCCACACCAGGAATCCAGGCAACATTGAGGATTCATTTAAAGTTATCGTTGTTAGGTGCTTCTGAGTCAACTCTGACCCATAGCAACACTATGTACAATGGAATGAAATCCTGCCTGGTTCTGTGCCATCCTCACAATCATTGCTATGTTTGAGCCCAGTTTTACAGCCACTTTATCAGTCCATCTTGTTGAGGGTCTTCCTCTTTTTTGCTGACCCTCAACTTAACCAAGCATGATGTCCTTCTCATGGACTGCTGTCTGCTAATAACATGTCCAAAATATGTGCGATGAAGACTTGTCATCCTTATTTCTAAGATTATTCTGGCTATATTTTTTCCAAGACCAATTTATTCATTTTTCTGAAAGGCCATGATGTATTTAATATTCTTTGCCAACAACATAATTGGTAGTCTTCCTTACTCATTATACAACTATCGTATGCATATGAGGTGATTGTAAATACCAGGCTTTAGGTCAAGGCACCTTAGTCTTCAAAGTGACATTTTTGCTTTTTAATATGTAAAGTGATCTTTTGCAGCAGATTTGACCAGTGCAATATGTTGTTTGATTTTTAGCCTGTTGTTCCCATGGTTATTGACTATGCATCCAAGAAAAATGAAATCCTTGACAACTTCAGTCTTTTCTCTGTTCATTGTGATGTTATTTATTGGTCCAGTTGTAAGGATTTCTGTTTTCTTTATGCTGAAGTGCAATCCATATTGAAGACTTGGATCTTCATCGATTAGTGCGTCATGTTCTTTTCACCTTTTCAAACAGGGTTATGTCATCTGCTTATCATAAGTTGTTCATCAGTCTTCCTCTAATCCTGATACCACATTCTTCTTATAGTCAAGCTTCTCAGATTATTACATCAGCATATACACTACGTATGGTAAAAGGATACAATCCTGATGTATTCTTTCCTTTTTTAAAATCATAATGCATCCCCTTGTTTTATTAGAGTGGCTGCCTCTTTCTCTATGTACAAGTTCCACATAAGGACAATTAAGTGTCTGGAATCTCAATTCTTTGAAATGCTGCTCGTAATTTGTTATGACCTATACAGTTGAATATCTTTACATAGTTAATATAACACAAACATTTTTCTGATATTCTCTGCTTTAAGTCAAGATCCATCTTAAATCAGCAGTGACATCATTCATTCCAAGTCCTCTTCTGAATCCAGCTTGAGTTGGGAAAGATTCATGATTAATTTAAAATGAACTAATCAGCATGGTGGTGCTTATCTCAAGTCATATTCAAAGTCCTGGGTGTTTCTTTTTTTCCAGAGATTAATCTTTAGCCAAAGCCATATGACAAAATAGAGAGGTGAGTGATCTGAGAGGGAATGCAGAGAAAAACAATGATCGATGACAGACTTAAGAAAGGTATGAGGGTGTGGAGAGGAGTCACAAGTGGTGAGGGACAGTTAAAACACAGTAGGGCTATGTGATTATAGTTCCTAGTAGATTTATAGGATTACAGGAGTCAGAGTAAATGAATCCTGGTGGTTCATAAATTAAAACCACTCCTAAATGAAAGGTTGGCTATTCAAAGCCACCAGTCACTCTCTGTGAGAGAAATCTGGTGACCTGCTACCATAACTATTACAGTTATGAAAAAAAGAAAGAAAGAAAGAAAGAAACTTCCCCAAGGAAATCCAAAGGGGCAGTTCTACTCTATTACAGAGGTCACTATGAGTACGGACCAAGTCTGTGGCATCTAAGTCTATGGCATCTAACAACAACAGAAAGGAAACTAGAATGATAGGAGGGGTTGGTCAGAGAGTGAGTGAGTGGCTTACTCAAAACTAAGATTCTAAAAGTGACTGTAATTTGGGGTAACAAAGAGGTATAAGATATGGCCTTGTGTTTGGGTTGTTGAGACAGGGTGAAAAACAAGGTCATAGGATAAGTAGATCTCAAGAAACTGAGAAGTCAAGCCATTTTAAAAAAATGTGTGTGGATTTTGATGTTGACAAGGATTAAATCTAAAATAGTGTTGTTGATAGTAAGAGTTGTGAACAGTGACAACTGTAGAGCAGTAAGTAGGATTTACTAATTTCTCTGCCACAGAAGGGGAGTATATGGTAAAATCTGATTCTGAAAGAATGCCAACTGAATGATAAAAGGAAGAGAGGATGATGGGCTAAAAATGGTAATGAGGATCAAAGTAGGCAGATGAAAGCTGTGGATGAAAAAAAGTCAGTAACTAAAAGGTCCCCAAGGGAAGCAGTGCTTTTAAGGGAAAGCCATGTTTCAGGCAGAATAAAAAAGATGAGTGGACATGTAGAGTAGAAGTCAAGAATATAAGCAATTCTGCTGCTAGTGACTAGCAGCTAGCTGGTGGATTGTGTGTCCGGGAAAGCACAGTGCAGGGATTTCAGAAGTTAAGAATGTATAGGAGATGGGACTGAATACAAAATATGCAGAATTGGGTGAGTATTAGGGAGTCATTGAAGTTGGACTCCACATGAAAGAATGAAGTTGATAAGTAAAGGTGGAATGCAGCTCATCCTAGTGGTCTCTAAGTAGATCAGGGCAGAAAAGTTGTATGCACTAAGAAAATGGAGTGACTTACTTCATTCATCTCTGCAAAAAAGGAGGCCTGGGGGTCTGGGGAGGGGCTTGTTACTCAGAGTAGGCAGGAGGGTTGCTCTTGACCCATTGTGGTATTCCAATTTGGCTAAGCATCGTCACCAGTATTGTTGTTGTTGTTATGTGCCATCGAGTTGGTTCCGACCCATAGCGACCAGTATATTCATCACCAATTTCCTTCATAGGGCTAAGGTGACTCCACATATGCTTTATCAAAATCCCATGCAAATGTCTCAATTTTCTTTAAAATTGCTTATTTGCATGTATATATAAGGGAACTTCAAAAGTTATGGAAAAATGGAATTACGAGATAATGGGTTTTTGACTTATATAAATTTGTTTGCATATTGTATGAATTCCTCAGAGGCAGTAAGAATGCTTCCTTTACCTAACTACTCTTGATGCTATCATAGTGCCTGGCTCTGAATAGCTATTCAAGATATGTTTATTCTTTAAATTAGTGATCTAGTTGAAGCCTTAGATGTTTACTGAATCGTGACTACCAAGATCCACATTGTGAAACATAAAGAAATGATTTTAGCCTTTTTTTTTTTTTTTAAGTGTCGTCTGAATTAAAAACAAAAATTTTGTTTTCTCATTTGTGGGTTTCAGAAAGTTCATGGAAAAACGGAATGAAAAGATAATTGAATTTCTGTAGGAATTTTTTGAAGGCCCTTGTATAAGCTTACTTAAATGGATGATAATCAAGCATTGTACCAAGAATACTGTGTCAATGAAAAATGAATTAATAGACCAGATCTTCTTAAAAGGTGGTGCTAGATCCAGGGGCTACAGCATCATCTGAAGCTAACTTATTAGAAATACAAAGTTTTGGTCCCACAACAAATCTGAATCTGAAATCCTAAGGCTGGGGCCATCAGTCTGTTTTTAAACAAACCCTTCAGCTAGTATTTATGCATGATAATGTTTGAAAATTACTGTATTATAAACTAAGTCACAATGCATACGTTTTGTTATAAACAAAAAGGTATTGAAAAGAAATAGCATGAAAAGGGCTGTCCTATAATAAAAATAAGGTACATTAATGATACATTTCTAAAAATTATCAAAAACATCATTTTCCTTAATTATACTAATGGTAAAGTTAGTAGCTTCTATGACTGATATTTGTGACTTAATAAGATACAACATAAATATTCCATCTTTCTGTATGGTTTTAAATTACTCCTTTTAAAACTATCAATCAGTATGTACTAATCTTTCGAGTATGGGAAACTGCTAAATATAAATTCTAGATTATTAAACTAATATACCGACCTTGAACATAAATTCTTGCCTGGTGTTTATCCTTTCCTCTGATGTTCTCAGCTTCACATTCATATATGCCTTCATCTTCTAATTGAATGTTGAAGATCTTGAGTACAGCCCCAGAAATGCTGATCTCAGCAGTGCTTGGCATTGGTTCTAGGACCTTCCGCCACCGGATATCAGGAACAGGACTTTAAACAAAAGACAGAAGTGCTAAAGATCCACAAAGCTTAAGAGACAATTACTGTATGTTTACGGCTAAATATTTACATCATTCATTTTCTAAAATTGTATAAAATTAATGCTTTTCTATATAGTGGTGCCTTAAGGGGGTGTTAACTGCACTAGTTCACATTGTCATAGGGGTGAAACCAAGATGACTTTCTAGAAAACTTTAGGGCAGTGTTTCAGCAGAATTTATTATTTTTATAAAAATATTCCTGTAGTTATAACAACAAAAATGTTTTTTATAGGCCCAGTTTACATGTATTTATACCTACAAGGCTAAAACTCTTTGCTTTATCTACTTTTTGAATTTTCTCATGTGATTTAATCAGAACTGTCATTTTCACCATTTTTGTCAAATTTTCTGGTGTTTTAACTGTGGTAATGTGTATTTGTGATCCTATATCGATCCCTTTTTGAGAGTGAAGTCATAATTAAGGGAAAAGAAAAAAAATGTTTAAAAAAACTTCTGCTCAGTTTACTAATAATATTGCAGGTATAATGTAATTCAATGTAGAAAGATTTAACAAAATATTTTATTGTTAATATTCATGCAATTTGAGAAATGTTATGTTTGAACAATTTACAGCTATATTTAGCACATACTCCAAAATGAAACCAACTGCCATCGAGTTGAGTCACACTCATAGCAATCCTGCATAGGATATCTGAGGGCGTAAATCTTTTCAGGAGCATAGAATCTCCCACAGAGTGGCTGGTGGCTCTGAACTGCTGACTTTGTTGTTAGCAGTCCCACAGTTATCCTAT